TAAATATACTGTCTCAAAAGTGATGGTAGGACTCGAACCCTTGACATGGGACTGGGATAGTTTATCCTGGTCTAATCCTGGTACCAAAGCCATTACAAATCAAAGAATTAACCACATGATATATCTTACCGTATGTTAAGATAAGGTCTTGTTTTGTGGATTTCTGTCTCACATACGGGACATTTGTAGCTCTTCTCCAACCAGCAAATGATGCAACTTCTACAAACTAAAAAGGGAAAACGAATTATGTATTTATTGACTGAGTGGGAGGGCCGTACGGGAAAATATTTGGCTCGAGGTTATTCCGTACGGACCGAGCGCAGCGAGTTCCGTACAAATGACCGGGAGCCAAATATTTTCCCGTACGGCCCGACCTAACTCAGTCAATAAGCATTTTATCATATGACCGCGTTTTTTAATGTAAAAAAAATAAATAAAATTGCGCGGAACTTGAAGCCGGGAAAATACGGGTTTGTACGGACCTGTCGCGAAAAGGCGTACGGACCCCATCACGTGACCATTTTCCAAAGGTTTCAGTGAGAGCGCGCGTAGGGCCGAAATACGGGTCATATGATAAATTGAGTTTCGAGATGACTGGCTGATGTATGGACTGACTTTACGACTGACCTCTAGACAAACAGTAACTCTGGCTGACAGATCGCACAATGGACTTACTGACTGTCTGACTGGCTCATTAAGTTACTACATGGCTGACTTATGTACAGATTGACTGACTTACTAGACAGACAGCAAACTGACTGTGTGACTGGCTCACTGTATGACCTCGAACTGACTGACTGAACCCACTGACTGATCCTATAACATAAAACCTCTACAAACAAACCGTCTGACTAACTCGAATGGGTACTGACTGACGTGCTGGCTGGCTGACCGGTGTCTCGAAGGCCTGGTTGTTCGCCCTACCAACTCGCTAATTGTCTTAACTGGCTAGTTTCACTGGATGACACTGGTGAAGTGACTGACTACATGCCTGACTGGTAGCGSAAAGATCACTCAACAGACGGTGCTAACGTTCTGAATAACAGTTATTTCACTTGCTGACTGATCGATAACTAAACGGCTGAATTATCGCTCTACGGACTCACTAGAGCGGATTTCGTATGATTGTGCAACGGCACGGATCACAACACGGCACGGCACGGCACGGCACGGCACGGCACGGTCGGTCACCGAACCTCGCCTTCTAGGATTCCAAATGAAAATAAAGATTTCACAATACATCACCGCTACGGCACAGTACGGTCACAGCGCTAAAGTACCGTGTTTGAAATCCGTTCTAACTGTGTACGGACTGACTGATGTACGGATTTGTTGACTGGCTGTCTGACTCGATGGCCAAACGCCTGATTGATCGCTCTACGACACATTAACTGTCTGTCTGACTGGATGACTGACTGATGTACGGACTGACTTGCTGGCTGGCTGGCTGGCTGACTTGCTGGTACTAACGGTTGCTGCCTATCGCTTTACGGACTCTTAACTGTATGATTAATTGACTTATTCATTGGATGACTGACTGGTGAACAGACTTACTGACCGACTATATGACTACCCAAACGACTGATCGATAGATCTACGTACTATTTCATAATGTACTGGCTGACCGGACGACAGACGCGAGACTTGTCCCACGATTGACTATAGCTAAGTACCGACTTTAAAAGTAGTGACTTGAACGACTACAACGGATTGATCGTCTGCTGACCAAAAGAATGACTGGCGGAAGGATATGGATATAGATTCAAGTGAATTTCATCGATCTTTTTTTTCGACAAGGTAAAATTGAATTCTTAGTGCTTGTAAACGGCACAAGACAACTAAACACTCAAATCTCGTTCGATGATACATTGGAGTCATATTTAGAAACGACATCTTTGCGTCAAAATCAGTCGACAGACTCTAGAATCCTCTTCGCGACACGCTATTCACGACTGGCAAAAACAACCCACTCACCCATTGCCGATAGTTACCACAAAAATGAGGGTTAAATCAAACCAGTTTRCGTCGAAATTGTTCCCATAAAAGCGTTCGTTTATACGCGGTTTGCTTGGCAATAGTYGACTAGAAAAGCTTTGAATTCGATTCTGTCGGAACACTAATAATCCTATTTCATTTGCACTGAACCAACGAAAGCAGACGGTAAAGTTCTGTTGTGTGATTGTCTGACGACTAATGCAAGTCAAAWTATAACTATTGACAATGGCACAGTCAATGAAGTAACGTAAAAACAGCCTAGTTAACTGAGATCAATCTTTTTTCGGGTAATCAGTAGTTTGAGGTAGAATTCAGCTCTTCAGTCGTTTGCAGTATCTCTAAATTAAAGCATATTCACTTGAAACCACACACTAGTTCAACTTATAACTATATAACAATAACTTTAWGCAGCTAAGTTTGATTTACTAATGAAAATGCACTAAGTCCGACAAGACCCAAGCTCCTACGAGGTTTTCTTCTTCTGTCTTACGTCGTACGATTTATTTTTTTCATTACTATCAAGACTAAAACTCGTACAGTTGTAATTTACTCCAAAAACGACGGTTTTTCGTCCCTAGTTGRCGATGACATTTTGCCGTCGTTGAACATACCGCCGATGAATGATATATACGAATKTACACGCACTCCTGCTAAAWAAAATCTTCCTACCTTTTAAACTGATACTACATTTGCCTAAAATCTAAACTAGCCTTCGTGGTYRRAAAACARCCGGGYCYCTTACATGAATGTAAACACTCGATGATAGTAGTAGCATCCACAAGGTAGCCTCCACACAACACACATATGATGTGAGGGTTCAGGGTCTTGACATTCATTGAACGAAGCATCTTTTTTTTAAAGCGGCTTTCTTATGTTCCCTGTTAGAACCAATAAACAAAGTCTATATTACTGTCAGCGTGACAATTTTTAAAATCTACCCGTCCCTTGAAGAACGTATTTATAGTTCAATTTAAGTGCACATTTATAGTCAATAACAATCAAAATAACGTATCGATTTGTTTCTTGCTATTACCAACCAAGTATTAATCAGAAAATACGCCCAATTTTAGYTTGAAATTTTGACTCGAGTAAAGTATCAAAAGCCGCCAAATAATATAATAATGTAAATGTTTTT